CCCCCGAGCCCCAGCCTGCTCCCCTCCACAGCGTCCAGCAGGGCCGCGGGCTCCTGCGGGCCGGGCCGTGCCTCTTGCGCTGGAGACCTGCGGGATACCCTCCACCCTGCGGCTGCGGGCCCATCTTCCATCTTTTCCTCTGCCTCACTCCAGCCACGGGTGAGATGGGAGCTCAGTCCCGTGGGAGGCCGGGAGATGTGGCTGGCACGGAATGGCACCTCCGGGTGGCTTTGTCAAACCCCGGGGAAGTGTCGGGCTTGCTGGGGGGTGAGCGGGAGACCAGCAGGGAGCCAGGGGAACGCCAAGGCCCCGAGATCGGGACCCCTCAGCTCCCGGTAAGGAGACAGGCTGGAGGCGAGGCTTGCCCGTGGCCCCCGACCCAGCATGGGCGGTGTCCTCAGTTCCCCTGGACTCTTAGACAGATTTAGTTTTAATATAATTTAGTTTTAATATATCAATAAAGTTGAAAATATCTTAAGAGAGAAGAAACGTTATTTAAACGACGCCTGCCACCGCCTCTGATCCTGTGCTGAAGAAAGCTCCTGCCTTTGATCCCAGGGGAGCACAGAGAAGCTGGGGGGTCCAAGGCAAACCCCTTGATATGGCTCAGCCTTGGAGCAAGAGGTAGCGATTAGACAGCCGTGTGACTCCACCCTGTGGCCACATCTGGGACCACATATCCTGAACCCCGAGCTGGTCTTATTTGCTCCAGCCAAACAAAACAAAACAACACAGAAGGAATTGTTTCTTCCAGGTCAATGTGACTGATAAGGGAAGGCCTGGAATAGGGGAAAGGACTCGAAAGCTGCTCCTCAGCTACCCATCCACCCCTTGGATGTCATTATGAAAAAAACCCCACGCACCTCAATTTCCCCCAACCTTGAGTTCCCTTATTTCATACCCAACTCTCTCTTCCTAATTTGTGGGTTTCCCCACCCTGACTTCAGAATGTCAAAGGAAAGCACAGCCCCCCCACCTGTGGTTGGCGCGACAGATTTGGGGGCAGATGAGACAGGTCCTAAATCTCACCTCTGCCCTCACCTGCTCCAGGGCCTGCGCTGTCACTGGAGGCCATCTGAGCCTCAGTTTCCTGACCCATGACCAACAGGGGCCCAGGGGCCCTTCAGTGCCTTCTCCCTTGCCAGGCTCCGAAGCAAACTCTTATTTTCTGAGAAGTGTTTTTAAATGTTTTATTAACACATATCAACCCATTACTAGAGGAAAACCTCAAATGGAAAACCTCGAAGAGATCAGTCCCATTGAAAGTAAGCTCTTTGCAAAGGCTCTCGCCACCCCCACCCGCCTCCGGTGCTGTTTTGCTGCCTCTGAGCCTTTCCAGGCACCTCATCCGGATTTTCACCGGCTGGAAGCTCTTTGCTGTCGACTCTGATTTATCACTCTTCTCAGGTCCTTTGAATCTGACGCCTTGGCCTCTCCCCTTGCCCTATGTACTGCAAAATCTGGGCCACCTGTGGCAAAGGAACCCAGAACACACTTCTAACACCAGGTGAGGGCAAACCTTGAGGGAGCGTGACCAGTCACTCTTTTCTAGCAAGCCCAGCAGCACGTGGTGGTTGATGGCCGAGTGAGGAGGTGACTGAGGTGACCTCAGCCACCTTATACAAGCTGTAACAGTGAGCGTCTCACAGCCACGTCCGGACGCTAACTGCTTATTAACTAGAGCATGGCACTCGCATCCATCAGGTACTGTGTGCGGGTGGGTGAATCAGGGAGGTNACGCTAACTGCTTATTAACTAGAGCATGGCACTCGCATCCATCAGGTACTCTCAGGGAGGCNCTTTGCTGTCGACTCTGATTTATCACTCTTCTCAGGTCCTTTGAATCTGACGCCTTGGCCTCTCCCCTTGCCCTATGTACTGCAAAATCTGGGCCACCTGTGGCAAAGGAACCCAGAACACACTTCTAACACCAGGTGAGGGCAAACCTTGAGGGAGCGTGACCAGTCACTCTTTTCTAGCAAGCCCAGCAGCACGTGGTGGTTGATGGCCGAGTGAGGAGGTGACTGAGGTGACCTCAGCCACCTTATACAAGCTGTAACAGTGAGCGTCTCACAGCCACGTCCGGACGCTAACTGCTTATTAACTAGAGCATGGCACTCGCATCCATCAGGTACTGTGTGCGGGTGGGTGAATCAGGGAGGTGAGAGAACAGAAGGGGTGATGGTTACCGAGAAGGGGCAGGGAGCTTTGATTGACAAGGGTACACGGCCACCTAGCACTCCAGGAATGAATTCAAGATCAAAGTCGCCTGCAGAACATCAGCTGCCCAAAGGGCTCTTCGGTTCCGCAGAAGCAGACCATCCTCACCTTCCCGCGTCTCTGGCTTTGGGGACAGCACCTGCACCCACGCTGGTCGTTGGCAGCATCTTTCTTCCTGGGGACAGAGCTTCAGGAGGTTGATGTCAGAAGAAACCACTGTCTATCTACCTACAGACATCTGGGGCAGCAAGTCCTCCAAGCTCAAATCCTCAGTTAGAAGCAGCACAGGCTGGTCCTGGATTAGAGGCCTGGACCAGCTGGACCAGGAGTCAGGGAGCAGGCATCCTGTCCGCACTCAGTCAGGGAAAGTCAGGGCCGGAAGGGACTGAGGAGCTCATGCATCACCCATTTCACAGGTGGGAAAACTGAGGCCCGGGGAGGCGAGGGGATGCACCCAAGTGCACCCTACTTGCACAGAGCTGGGATCTGGACCAGGCTCTGAATAGACATGTCACCTTCCTCGAGCTGCGTTTCTTCACCTCGGAGTGGAGCTGCGCCTGCCTGTCTTCCTCCCGGAGCCACCCATAAGGACGGCGGGATGGCCGTCCTGAAAGTGGGGCGTGTACCGCTACACGGTGTTACAGTCAGACGCGGTGCAAGTGTGCCCCCCGCCCCCCACCGGCCCCGAGGCGGACTCTTCCTGCCCTCCCTCCCACGCACTTTTCTCCTTTCCAGGGCATTTTGGGTCCAGCACAGTGATTCGATGAGGTCACCCGGGTGACCCCAAGGAGAGACCGTGCGTGAGCAGCATGAGGGTTCAGGATGGGCCTGTCCCCTTGGGCGGGCCACGGGACCCTGGTTTCCTCGGCCGGACCAACCCCCTCACGGGCCGCCTTCATGTTCCGTCACCGAACAGTCTGTGGTTGGCATCACGCTCTTTGTTCAGGACAGTTTCTCACCCTTGGCACTACTGCACTTTTTAAAAGTGATTTTTAAAAAGACGGAATTGACATATTATAAAATTTGCCCTCTTAAAGTATACAACTCAGTGGTTCTAGGGACATTCACGAAGTTGTGCAACCGCCACCAGGAACAGCACCCTCAGTCCTAACTCCCCAAAAGGCCACCCCTGGAGCTCTCCACCGGACAGCTCTTCACCTGTTGGGTTCTAATGCTGACTTCCACGCTCAGGACCCCTCCAGTCCTGGCCATGCTGAGCTGGCCCCAGTCATGGAGCTGTGCTGACACAGGGTGATTCATGAGCCTGGCTGGGGGGTGGCAGGAGGTAGGCAGAGGCCTGGCCACAGGTGTCAGGTTCCTAAGCTAGAAAAGGTTTGAGGAAAGGGGACCAGCAGATGAGGAGCAGGGATGGGGATGGCGCAGGGCCACAGAAAGGGGATGGGAGAGTGGTGCTCAGAAGGAGCCCCAGGCCCCTTCCCTGTTAACCTTCCCAGCCTGAGTTTAGGGGGAGCCCAGGAGAGCTGCCAGGGCTGCATTTGGACCCTAATTCTAGGTGGAGACTTGATTCTCTGACTTACAGTAGGGACAAAGCAGACCCAGCCACAAGGCTCAAGGCCGAGCAGATATGCGAGCCAGGGAGAGAGAGGCCTCAGAGAACAGGTGAGGCAAGAGCTGGAAACTGATTTCCTTCAGTCTCATTTATTTAGAAAACACCATTCAGCACATATCCAACCTCAAGAAGAAAGAAGCCCACGTCCCCGGTCCTGGGAAGGGGCCCTCTCATCGCGCCCGCACCAACCAGCCTCTCCCTGCCCTGGGTGAGCTTCCTCTGTGGTCACAGAGCTGCACCGAAGTGAGGGCCGGCGAGGAGGAGCCGCCGGGAAGCGTAAGTCAGCTTTTCTCGGAAACGGGCGATGCGCTCCTGCTCGCCCAGGTCACCTCCGCCGACGGAACTCCGCCACGGGGACCGTCCTAGTCTACAGCCTCTGAGCCAGGCTCCTGGACGGAGACACGTGTGCTGGAAAGCACTATTCCGGCTCCAGTTTATTTAATGTCTGTCTTTCTCCCTACCCCGGACAGTGTGTGTATTAGCCAAGCTCTGCTTGACAGTTCTCATTGGAACCCAAGGGGCAGATCCCGCCCGGAGTGTGTGTGTGTGTGTGTGTGTGTGTATCAGTCTGTGTGCTCATGGAAAGAGCCATCAAAACCCAACTTGATGAGCTAAAGAAAAAACATTTTAAAAACTTATACATATTTCAGAAGCTCAGGCCTAGAGGTTGTCGAGCTGGTCTCAGGACCCACAGGAACCAGGGACTGGCCCGGGCCCTGTCTCTGTCTTTCCTTCTCGCACATTCCTGCTGTCTCTCTTTCTGTGATTCGGTCCCCAGCTCTGCGCTTTGGTCTCCAGCTCTGCATTGCAGTCCTCAGCTCCGTGTCAAGTCCTCCAGCAGGGAGGACACAACAGTCTGAACTTGGGCTCCATCCCGTAACTCCTGAGCCCTGAGCCCTGGTTGGATGGGGTGTGCTGTTTTCTATCTGAGGTGGGGACAGGTGCTGTCCCTCCAGGCAAAGACGATGCTCCAGGAGGGGTCTGCGCTGTGTCCGGGAGCTGTGCAGAGCCGGGAACCCAGAGGTTTCGGAAGTGTCTCTCCTGCGGTCCGTGTCTCCCCTGGAAATGTGGTCCAGGTCAGAAAGTGTCTCGTCTGTCTGCCTAAGAGCTGTGTCATTGGACAGGTCAGAGGACAAGTTCATATAGACAGGCTGTTCCCATGGCTCCTCGGGGACCCTCAGGTGCCCCTTCAGCCAGAGGACAGCGCCGACCACGATGAGTAAGATGGGCACCTTCACAAACACCAGGAGCACGTAGTGGTTCCTGTCATGGGACAGAGCGGTCAGTGCCCCGGGCCCTCCAGGCCCTGTCACTCCCAGTGCCCTGACCCTGGGGCATCAGCCAGCCCAGCCAAGCCTGTGACCCTGGGCCCAGCGGCTCCACCCTGAAGACCCCCATGAACCGCCTCAATGGCTCAGCCATGAGGCTCCTCAGAGGTAACCTCAGCTTTTTGGTTTTGCTTGGTACCGGGCCCAGCTTCCCTCCAGGGCCCCCCTTTGCCTGGCATGCCCGTCGGCCCAGTGGAAGTGCCTGCTGTCCCCCAGCACAGGCTGGTGGCCTGTGTCCTCACTGTGTCCTCGCTGTTGGCCTGGTGCCTGTGTCATGGAGATTCGTGTCTTATCTCCCCTCGGCCCCCACCAGGACACGGATGCTTTTTCTGTTGAGGGGGTGGAAAAGCTCATAGAGGAGCGTGGTGCAGAGCGGTTTTCTGGTGAGGGCTGGGATGGGGCCATGGTGAGTGAGGGGTGAGACGGGACGGGAGCTTGGGGCCCTGACGCTGGCTATGATGTGTGACAACACAGGGGCAGAGGGGTTCCCAGGCTCGGACGCCCCATGGGAGAGGCCCCAGGTAGGGGCAGGAGAAAGGACCAACACCACTCACCGGATGAGGGAGTCGGAGGACACCCCCATGTAGTTGTTCGAAATCTTCCCAGAGAACAGGTTTCCTAGACACAGATAAAGTCGGCCAACGGTCATTGGCGCAGACGGGGGTTGGTGCATGACTCACACCGCCACCCCCGCCACGAGACCCCCCTTCCCCTGGGTCAGGAAGCTTCGCCTCTTTGGAGAAGTCCCCTGGGCTTCTCCCCCCTCTGTCGATCGTTTCCATCATTTCCAGGCGTGGTAAGAAGAAATAAAAGTTAAACAGGCGAGCTCAGTCTTCCCATAGCCTCTCTGCCTCCTCCTGAGTGGGACCGCTGGTGCGGGGGAACCCCTGGCCTGAGCAGGCTCGGGGACCGGCGGCTCTGGAAATGGGGCTTCTAGTTCTTGGGGTGGTGAGGGCAAGGAGCACCCTGGAAGGCAGGTGGATAAGGGGGCACATTCCGGTTCAACAGTGAACAGTGCCCATTAGGAGTGAAACAACCTCATGAGAGACTCAGACAACTCATGGCGAGCAGCTTGGCCTTGGATCCCCGAGACTAGCCTGGGACAGAGAGTTCACGGTGCGTCTTGTATCTGAGTCCTAGCTCTGTTCTGCAGGTCCCCACCTTTGGTCACGCCGGGTAGCTCCTGGCTGAGCTCCGGGTCACTGCAGTCCAAAGGGCTCCTCTGGAGGCCACAGTCACCTTCCAGGCTGGTACCCAAGACCCCTCAACGCCTTTCTCCCTAAAGCTCCGCATGGGGCGCACTTCCTGCTGTCCTGGTCCCCGCTCGCATGTCTTAATCATCTCTTTTGTGTCCCCGGAGATCTTGGCTTCCCCTACTGGGCAGCCCTGGGCAGGTTTTGCTTGGTTGGTCCTCTCTGGACTCCACCCAGTAGCAGCCCCTGACTTTCTCGGGTTGCAGACCTAACAGTCCATGGGCCACTCTGCCTTAGTGTCTCTCACTTCCCTCCCCATCTGTCTGTCTGTCTCTCACTCTCGCCCACATGCTGGTTCTCGGACTCAGCCCTTTTCCTTCTGCCTGTGGAAGGAGGGGAGCAGGAGCCCTCGCTCTCTCAGTTCGGAGCACCAGGGCCTCACCGCAGAGACGAGGAAGCCCTTACCTGGCTCAACGATCACGCTGATGGGCACCCCGCGGTCGGTCCCAATCCTGTTAATCCCACACCAGTAGGTGTCTTCGTCATCTCGCCTGAGGTCCTTCATGGTCACTATGATCACGCCGTCTCTCTGGTTGTCCCTGATGGACAGCCGGTCCCCCTGCACTTTTTGCTGCGATGATGTGGTTTGAATGAGGATCTGGCAACTATCCCAGTCTGCTCCTCGACACCACCACTTCCTGTGGGTCTGCCATCTGTGCTCATAGCGACACTCCACGGTCAGCGAGCCCAGCTCCCGGCCTCTCACGAACTTTGGGGCTTGGATCGAGAAATAGCCTGAAAAACAGAATCCCAGGATGCAGATCCTACCCCTGAGCCAGGCCTGACCTGGGGGGACCCTGGGCTCAGATGGCTCCAGGCTGATGCCCAGGCACTGGACCAGTGTCCCCAGCCTTTCTGGCCACCCCTTAGCTGGCCCCTCATATCTACCTCCTCCATCCAGCTTCCCCCCTCGCCCCCCGAGAGACAACCCTCCGGCCTCTTTGGTCTTCATCTCCCTGGATATACTCACAGCGCGTGACACTGATTTTCTGGCACTTTCCTCACTGTTCTCTCAGTGCTGCTCTCACCCGATCTCTGACTACACCCCTCTCTCCTTACATCCTAGCGTCACCAGTGGTGTGTGGGTAAATATTTAACAGCCAGCCCCCTGGGGGGAACCTCTGGTTTGTAGCACTTCCAGTTTCCGTGGTGGCTGATTTCAGGTGACCAGTGTGCTGTCGCTGGACACAGAGCTGGGAAGGGTTCGGAACCGGTCCTTGTGCACCGGTGTGAGCAGCTCCAGCGCACCCCAGGGTGGGGCACCCAGGTGCTCATCTGGTCACGAATGGAGGTAGCAGCACCTGGAGAGGTTCTCCCACTCCTCCCCTCCTCCCATCTCCTCTGCGTGTGGCTGCCAGAGCTACATCCTGACGTCGTCCCTACCTGGCCTCGTCTGTAATTGCCATGAGCGCTTAAAAATCTTTCAGGAAGCAGCCTAAGTGTCCATCAATAGACAAATGAATAAAAAAGGGGGGGTACACACATGCAGCGGATGTAAAGTACAGCACGGGGAACACAGTACCTAATATTGTAATAACTGTGTGTCGTGTCAGGTGGGTACTAGACTTATTGGGGTGATCACTTCATAAGTTACATAAATGTCTAATACATATGTTGCACACCTGAAACTAACATAATATTGTATGTCAACTATAACTGAAAAATAAAATTATTTTTAACATTTTTTTTTAATTAAAATTTAAAAAGTTTATTTAATCTTTCAGGACCGCTCCTGCAGCCACACCCCACGATCTCAGAAAGACTGAAAATGCTTGCATTTGTCATTCCTCTTTTTGCAGCCTGGACCCCAGTTCCCCGCCCAGCGCCGCTCCCTGCCGCCTCTTGCCTCCCCCTCTACCCTATGACCCGCACCCGCTTTTCACTTTCCCTGATTCCGCTGGGACATCCCAGGCGGCTGTGTCATTGCTCATGTCCTTCTTGCCCCTGGAAACCTCCTCTCTAACCCCTCCCATGTCCTGGTCACCCTCGGCCACCCCTTCAAGGCCCAGCCTCCTCTGCAAAGCCTCGCTCCCCTTCCCAACCAGATCCGCCTCCTCCCATTGCTCCCGCGGCCCTTTAGAGGAACCCCAGCGCCTTGTGGCATTTATTGCCCTCAGCAGTCCCTGTCTGTCCCCCCTGCTGGGAGGCTCTGTCCCAAAGAACAGGCCCCCCTCCCCCCGTTTGGTTTGCTCTGTCTCCCCACCCCAGGCCCCTGAGTCTTGCACTGTGACTGGATCCTGGTAGGTAAGTTTATGATTGTTTTTTAAAAGGTCTTGGACAGAATCTTTTTGAATCTAAGAAGAACTATAACCTTCAAACCCTTGGACAACACATAGAAAGGAAAGGACAAATCACAGATAATACTGGGAAAGATGTGCCAGATATTTTATTACCGGGTCAAAAAAGCTTGCTTAACAGAGGGTGTACGATTCCATTTCTGTGGGTTTTTTCCCATAGCCCATGAGTAGGAAAAACACCTGAAGATATATGTTCTAAACTTTAACAGTGGTTAGTGCTGAGGTGGTGGTTGTTGTTTTTTTGTGGAGGGAAATTTTACTTTCTAAATCACACATTTCTATCATGTTAAAATGTTTGCAATATCATGGACTAATAAAACCATAAAGATAATTTTGAAAAAAATAAAAAAGGAATCAATTAGGAGACAACAATTGATGTACATTAAAACCAAATGCAAGCCCTGGACAGGTGGCTCAGTTGGTTAGAGCATCATCTTGATGCGTCAAGGTTGCGGGTTCGATCCCCGGGCAGGGCACGTATAAGAACCAACCAGTGATGCGTCAGTAAGTGGAGCAACACATTGACGTTTCCCTCTCTCTCAAATCAATTAACCAATCAATAAATTTTCGTTTTAAAAAAATGCAAGAGTCAGCAGATAGGGTCATTTGCTTTCTTCAAAGAAAAATAGAGTAGAAAGCAGAGGTTTAATCCAAATAGCAGAAAAAGAGATGTTGCTGCTTCGAAACAGGAGCTTCATCTATGCCAGCCCGGGACTCGGCTCATTTTAAAAAACATGTGGGGAGTTTTTATGAACGCAGATTATAACGGAGGAAACAATTAATTGGGCCTATGTGAATTCTCGAGTTTGTTCGGAGGAGCAGGGGCGGAAAGCACAGGACAGCGGTGGCGAGGAGCCGAACTCTGGGGAATGGGGCTGACGCGTTTTAAAAGCATCAGGCTGCTCGAATGGCAGCTTTTCATTTTTGTGAATCTGAGATGTAAACTTCCTCCCATGTCAATCCTTCGGGAGAGTTTGCTCCATGTGCAAAATCCTTGCGTGAATACTCTTGTCCCCAAATTGAGAAATGGTTGAGCTCCGTGTCTGGGCTGAGAGCAGGTGACAAGTGACACCTAAAACGAGGCAAAAGCAGCCACAGGGAGAGCTCAGAGCAGAGGCGCCCAGGGAGCGCGGGGTGGGCCGAGGAGTCCCAGCTGCCGCTGTGCGGCCACCCGGCCCGGGCGCTGAAGCCTCTGGGGCTCAGGTCCCGCCCTGGCCGTCCCCATCACTTCCCTCACTGGCACGAGCGCCCACCCCGTGCCAGCGCCCCCCTTCCTCTCCGGGCTGCCGCGGGGTCCAGCCGGTGAGACACCGTCCTGGCAGCAGCCGGGCCGCGCTGACTCCACCCCTCCACTTTCCCCCCTTTATCGCAGAGGTAACCCCACAGCGGCTGACGGCGGTCTATAGGAGAAACCTTGGTGGGCGGCTTTTCTCTCATCCTTGACCGACGTCACCCCCTTTCCAAGTTCACTGGCAGAGTTGGAGGGAGGAAGAGGGACTCCCTGTGTTGTCCCTACGGCACTGTCCCCTCCCCAAGCCACCGATGGACCGTGGTGGGCCTCGGCCTTCGTCTGGGGAGAAGCCCTGGTGTGGGGGGAGAGGTATGAAGGAGACTGTGTGTGACTATGTGTGTGGCTGTGCGAGCGTCTGTGTCACTTGGTGTCCCTGGCAGTGCAAGCTCTGTCCCCTGAGCACACTTCCACCCGTGTCTTCTTGTGCCCTGTCACCGGTGCTGTCCATGTGTATGTCTCACCCGCTGAGCCCTCCGGGGCGCTCTCTTTAACGACCAGCCCTATCTCTCTTTTTCCTGCAGGTCCGCAGGGCCTGGTGCACGCCTGGCATGAAGTCGACCTCCCTTGCGCTTTTGCTAAATGAATTAACAAAGCCACCTCTCGTTTTCCCAGACGCGACACCCCCGCGCCTTGCACCCCGGGCAGCGGCTCTCTGCCCTGCCCAGCCCCTGCAGCTCCGAGCCCCCAGGCCCCGCCGCACTCACCTGGGAGGCTGAGAAGGAGCAGAGCTGACGGCAGCCTCATGGTCCTGCTCCGCAGCGCCTCGCCCTCGGACCCGCGCCCTGGAGCGCGCCCAGACGCCAGCTGCCCAGCCCTGCCTGCGCCCGGCTTGTACCTTCTGCTCGTCCAGACCGCCTTTGACTTTCTCCAACTCCTACACTTCCTTTTATAGAGCGAGTGTTTCCTGCTTTTAGTTATTCAGCGAAAATATCGTTTCTTAGTAAGTCTGTGTCAGAGGGCACTCGGGTCCCCACTAGGTACGAAAGAGGAAGCGAGGACCCGGGAGGTATGTCTGCAGAAGGTTCAAGGAGGGGGCACCTGGCCTATCGGGCCTTGGGTGCAAGGAGTACAAGAGTCTGCATGCCAGCTCCAGAAGCGGCTGCCCAGCAGCAGGGGCCGCCCCTGTGGGGGGGGGGTGCTGGCACACCGGGAGATGCGCTTGCCCGGGTGGAGCAGCCAAGCGCAGGAGTGCAGGCTGTGGAGTCATCAGACCTGCGCCCTAACCCCCCAAGCACCGCCTGCAAGCCATGTGACTGCGGACAACTTCAACTTTCTGAGCCTCAGTTTCTGTATCTGTAAGTTGGGTTCATCAAAGCTGCTATGATCGGAGCTTGCCTCCACGTACCCATAGGGAGCAATGGGGCCGCACTTTAAAATGATCACTTGAAATCCAGTGTGCCGTGAGGACACAGCAAACTGCGTCTGTTACCTTCTATTCCGGCGTGACCACACAGCGAGGCTGTGGCCACATTCAGCGCCGGCACATCTGAGGCCGCGCCCTGCAGGAGGTGGCAGCAGCAGGGCCTGTCGGGGGCCTGGGGCCGGGAGGAAGAGGGCAAGAGAGGCTCGTGGAGGTGCTGGTATCGGGCAGCCGTGGCTTTACCCAAACCAGTCACGGAAGCTGCAGCTCCTGCTGGCTGCGGTCGCCCAGGACCCAGGACGCACCTGGTGGAAGCCACCGAGCGGCCAGCAGAACCAGTCCTGTGCGCCCGGGGCTCATCCCCTGAACTTGCCCAGAAGTGTGCGAGCCGACCAGTGATCTCGTAGAGAGGGGGGTTCTCCGCTAGCACATGGGGGCCAGAGGGGGGTTCTCCGCTAGCACATGGGGGCGAGAGAAAGCTGTCGTGAGAACTAAAAGAGAAAACACTTGGCAGTCCTGAGAACAGAACCCTGGGGCAGTGGTTGGCACCCTATGTTATTCTTCGTGCCCTGGGCAAAACCTCAGACACTATATGAGGAGTAGACAAAACCGCCTGGGCGTGGTTCAACAGTTGAGCATCGACCTAGGATCCAGGAGACAGGGGTTCGATTCCGGGTCAGGGCACAGGCCCGGGTTGCGGGCTCGGCAGCCGATCAATGACTCTCTCATCATTGATATTTCTATCTCTCTCCCTCTCCCCCTCCTTTCCTCTCTCTGAAATCAATAAAGATATGTTAAAAAAAAAAAAAAAAATGGGCAGAGGAACCAAACATTTTTCCAAAGAAGACATACAGATAGCCAGCAGGTCCCTGGAAAGGTGCTCAGCATCACTGATCAGCAGCGAAATGCGAACCAAAACCACAAGGAGACGCCACCTCACACTCGTTAGAATGGCTGTCACCAAAACAAACACACACACACAAAAACCCAACAACAAAAACCCCCAACAAGATACAACAAGCGTTGGCGAGAATGTGGAGAAAAGGGAACCCTTGTGCACTGTTGGTGGGGAGCAAAGTGGTGCAATCATGATGAAAAACAAACAGTAGAGAGGTTCCCCAAAAACGCAAAAAAGAGAAGTGTCATCCGATCCAGCCGTCCCGCTCCTAGGAGCAGCCGAGGTCCAGAAAGACACTGAGCGCCCAGCAACAGACGGGGCGACAGAGAAGACGGGGCGCGTACCCGGAGCGGAATGTGACTGGGCCCTAAGCAGGGAGGGGGCCTCGCCGGCAGTGCACCGCCGAGGAGTCTTGAGGGCGCTGAGTGAGAGAAGTCAGGCTGAGAAAGGAAAGCAGCGTATGACGCCACTTCTCTGTGGAATCTAAAAAAGATGAACTCAAACAGGGTGGAGCTGCGGTTACGGTGGCGGGTAGGAGAAATGGAGAGATGCTGGTCAAAGGGCGCAACTTTCCACTTATAAATTCTGGGGACCTAATGGATAGCCTGTGAGTATAGCTGCTAATACTATATTATATACTAGAAAGTTGCAAGAGAATAGATCTTAAATGTTTTCACCACACACGCAAAAAATGGCATTTTTGTGACGTGATGGAGATACTAGCTATCGCTACAGTGCTGATCATTTTGCACTTAAAATAAATAAGCGTATCGAATAGAAACATTGTGCCCTTAAAAATTACACAGTGCTGTATGCCAATTATATCTAAATAAAGCTGGAAAAAATAAAAATAAAATAAAGTAACAACTTTACTGTTAAAAATATATGCATGTACTCTGGAAATACGTATGAACATATATGGCAAAAGCCACGAAGAAAACGAGATGGTGCGTGTGCAATTCAGAGCCGGTTCCCTCCGAGGGGAAGCTTCGGGCCTCAGACGTGCTAATGACGTTTATTACTTTAAGCTGCTAGGTGGGTACCCCCGGCTTAATGAATAGGCATTTATTAGGTATATCTGTGTGTGTGTGTCTGATACATTGCAAGAAAAGCTTTCTAATGAGTTCACAGACTATTCTGACGGACTCATGGCCAGTGACACAGGGTTTATTAGTCAGGGGTCATTCCCACGCCCCCGAGGGCGGGTCATCGGCGGGAGCAGGTGTTACGGGTTCTCTGGGGGGCGGAGCTCTGAGGCCTGTTCACCCACAGGACAGCACCAAGCATGCTCAGGAGCAGGGGCACCTTCAGGAAGACCAGGACCAGGAAGTGGACACTGCCGAGCAGGGACCTGCGGGGGACACAGTGACACACAGTAAGCCACATCTTCAGGGGAAGGCCCTGGGCCCTCCACTTTCCCCTTGTCACTCAGCCCGGGTCCTGAGGCCACAACCGTGGGTGGGGCGGCCCCCCTTGAAGGACCACTGCCCCTGCCCCTCTGGGTAACAACTGCCCTTAAGAATTGGAACGGGGGACACAGAGAAGGGCTGCCACTAGGATACGGTGAGGCACAGGGACTGAGGTGGGCCCCAGGCCAGGAGAAGGGTTCGTCCTAAGCCCGCCACAGTTGCAGGTCACCCCAGCAGAGATACTGGAATCAATAATGTGGCTATTGGTTGGGTATCTGCTCTCCTGCCGCCTGCACAAACCAGAAGGGTACAGGCTGTTCTAGTTTCTTCACAGCGGGTAACTGGTGCCTGGCCAGGGTCTCCAACATGTTAGTACTTACAGTTAGTTAGTGGCCACTGATGGCGGGAAGGAATGGCCCCACCCAGCTCCCACCTCCCTCAGAGGCCTGGGCTCTTCAACAGGATGACGCTGTGGCCAGGGCTTGGGGGAGGCCACCAACCCCAGGGCTTCTGCTTCTTGCCCCGGCCTACGCTGGGTCCTGAGGGCTCCTTTGCAGACTTTGCCCCCCCTCTTCCCTCTGCCTGGAGCCCTATTTCTGCAGGTACTGAGTGCCTGGCTCCCCAAACCCTGCATGTCTCCATCACATGGCCTCTAACCAGGGAGGCCTCCCTGATAATCATGCGTTAAATAGCAAACCTACTCCCTCCCTCCACAAAGCCCTCCCCAGCACCTGTTCCCTCCCAGAATTCGCCATGAACTGGCATATTTACTGGCATATTCGTTCATTGTTGAATCCACCCCTTAGAACACAACTTCTCTGAGAGCAGGATGCTGTCTGGGTGGTTTATGCAGCACCCCAAAGCTGAGAAGGGTGCCTGGCACCTAGTAGGAGCCTCATAATTAGGTGTGAGCTCGATGAATAAAAGAGGGGCCAGGAGAGGAACTATAACACCCCTCCCCTAAACCCCCCCGCCCCGCCATCTAGGGGAGATCCACCAGGCGTCAAATCCTGGGATGTGGGCCCCTTACCGAGGGTGTTGGCTGGGATCGGGGGTCTCCCTCCTGGTCATATTGGGCCTGGTGGTCACTGGCAGGACAGAGGGAGAGCTCTGGGTGCTTGTGAAGACCTTCAGGGTGGGGCCTAAGGAAGACGCACAAGTCAGGCCCTGTGTCCCCTCCCTGGGTCTCCCACTCTGTCAGCTGTGTGGCTCTGACTCAAAGTCAAGGCCACTCAGGCCACCTGGACAGATGTGCTGTGGCCACAGCCAGGCCAGACCTGCCCCTGGGCCCCTCCCCGGGCCCCTCTGCAGGAACTCTGTGGCCTGGTGGGCACGTTCGGATGCTCAGCAGAGGGTCAGAGGGTCTGTGGGCAGAGCGCTGGGCGCCAGGTCACAGCCCGGCCACAGCCACACTGTCTTGTTCGTCCGCCCTGCAGGGACTGGGTGACCTTTACTCTGTAGCAATTAACTAGTGACGGGTAGCCAGGGGCTGACAGGTCGAGTGGGACTCACAGGAAACAGACATGCAGCAGAGTCTGCCTTGAATGATGGGACCCCACAGTCCCTTAGGGCGTGCCATGGTCTGAAGGTTTGTGTCCCTAAAATTCTTTTGTTGGAAGCCTGATGTCCAGTGGGACGGTATTAGGAGGTGATCAGGTCGTGAGGGTGGAGCCCTGGTCAATGGGATTAGTGCCCTGATAGGAGAGGCCACTCCAGCACGGGAGGATGCCACAGAGGCCTGCAGCCCCGAGGTGGCCCTCAGCCACGTGCTGGCCTCCTGACCTCGGGCTTCCAGCCTCAGGAGCCGTGAGCAAGAGCTTCTGCTGCTCAGAAGCTACCAGTCAGCCTGTGGTGCTTTGTTATAGCAGTGAATGTGCACTCAGTCCCCAAACTGTCAGCCAGGCCCATGGCCCCGGGCAGCCACTGGACAGTCCTGTCTGGGGAAGGAAATGAGCAGAAAGATCTAGAAAGACACACACCAGGGGGACCCCTCAGGATGTGGCCTGTCCTCAAGGCACGTGGACAACCCCTTCCCCTCACAGCCAGAGGTGTCCATAGATTTTCGGTTCCTCACTCTTTTGCTTTTTAACCCTCACTTGGGAAATTTTTTCCATTGCTTTTCAGAGGGAGTGAATGGGAGAGAGAGAGAGAGAGACATCGATGTGAGAGAGACACAGGGGTTGGTTGCGTCCCACTCGAGTGCCGCCTGGGGCAGGGGCCGAGCCTGCAACCGAGGTCTGTGCCCTTGGCTGGAATCAAACCTGGGACCCTTCAGTCCCCGGGCCGACGCTCTCACCACTGAGCCAAACTGGCCAGGGCTCCGTTCCTCTCTCAAATAGGAGCACACAAAGGGCATGTGAGGAAACCTCTCATGTGAGGGTGAGAAACTAGACCTACAAGGAGGAAGTAAGGGGAGCCAGAGGCAACCTCAGAGCAAGAGCACAGGGGGAAACCTATGAGCTTAGACAGGTGCTCTGCTAGAGAAGAATTGTTTTGAGGACATGGAAGAAAGTTTGGGGCCCTAACACCTGAGAGCCCACTTGGTCACCTTGCCCCTCCTTTGTCCGAGGGAGGTATTTTCAGGGGTTTCTCAGGGTTCCCTCCTGTGGGTACAAGGCATCTGAGAAAGAGGGGGAGGGAGAGGGTCAGCCTGAAGGGACAGGGTGGCTCCCAAAACATCACAGGAGCCCCACACAGGGACCTGGGGCTCCTACTCGGCCCCTCTCATGGCTGCTGAATGCTGCAGACCCCCAGGACCATGGCTGTGAGGCTGGTTCCTCAGGAACCATCCAGGCTTGAGACAGTGACAGAGGGTCTGGAACAGACTGTGCCTTTGCTTGTGTGTGTGAGTGAGTGTGTGAGTGTGTGCGTGTGTGTGTGTGAGTGTGTGTGTGAGTGTGTGTGTGAGTGTGTGTGTGTGCGTGTGTGTGTGAGTGTGTGTGAGTGAGTGTGTGAGTGTGTGTGTGTGAGTGTGAGTGTGTGTGTGTGAGTGTGAGTGTGTGTGTGTGAGTGTGTGAGTGTGCGTGAGTGTGTGAGTGTGTGTGAGTGTGTGTGCGTGTGTGTGAGTGTGTGTGAGTGTGTGTGTGCATGCCCAGACAACACAACACCCACACACTGTGTCCTAATCACTGAGCCCCCACCTCACGCAGCTCTTCATTCCACGTCTGTCCTGACCGACCAGTGGGGTGACCAGGTACAGATCAGGCAGCCTGGAGCTGGGACAAGGGGAGGGTGCGTGCGGCTCACCTGGGATCACAGACACCAGAACCTTGAAGGTGACGTCCCAACCTATTTCTCGCCATGGTCTATCGATCCCACACCAGTATGTGCCTTCATCACCCTTTTCGAGGTTCTCCAAGGTCACGGTGAAGGTGAGGTTTGCTGGATCGTCCCTGATGGACACACGGCCCCTCCTCACTTCTCTCTCTGACTTTGTGGTCTCCACAATCTTCTTCAGCAGTGTCGGACATCGGCCTTTGCACCAGTATTTCTTTTGTTCGGTGAACTCCGCCTCGTACTGACACTGCACGCTCAGGGATCCCCCGACGGTGCCCGTCACGCGGCTGGGGCCGCTCAGCGACAGACAGCCTGGAAGACCACATCCCTGATTCTGACGGTTAATCACAGGCCCGCCCTCACCAGTGTTGCCCTGGCTGGCACTGCGGACGAGACCCGCCTGCTCTGTGCACGGGTCCCGTGGCTGCAGCTGAGGCGGCGCTGGCTGCTCCCGAAGCTTCTCTGCCTCCCTCCCTGCGCGTCCTTCCTCCTCTGGGCTGCACCTCACCCACCACCGCCCCGCTCCTTCCTTTCCCCACTCAGGGCCCAGCTCCCCGCCCAGCCTGCGCCACTCACCTGGGACCTGGAGAAAGAGCAGAGCTGACGGCAGCCACGGGGCCCCTCCCCTTGGGGCCATCTCTCCGGCGGAGACCCCACTGGCAGCGGCACCAGGCCCTGTGTGTAGACAACGTCAAGCGTCCTCACGGAGGGTTGGGCCTCCACAGCTCTGCTTTGCCGGGCCTCTCTGCTTCCTTGCCCAGCCCAGTTTTGAGTCCAATGCTGGAGCTGGTCAGGGTGCAAGAAGTTCAGGGTTAGAAGCTGCTCAGGCTACTGCAGGCCCCTGGATCCCGGTGCCCTTGGCTTCTCTCAATGCCAGCGACTGGACAGGATGCTGCCCCCTTCTCAGAGCTCCTCTCACGGCCACACCCATCTCCGCACAGCACAGCTAAACTGGGACATTTCCTCTGAGATATGTCACCTCTTTGTTGTCAAGAGAGACAGTCCTGCCCTGGTCTGTGTGGTTCAGTGGTTAGAGCGTTGACCTGAGCACAGAAGGGTCGCAGGTTCAATTCCCAGTCAAGGGCACGTACCTGGGTTTCGGGGTTGCTCCCTGCCCCTGGTCAGGGGCATGCGGGAGGCAACCAGTCGCTGTGTCTCTCTCACATCCATGTTTCTCTCTCTCCTCCCCTCCCACCCTTTAACTCTCGCTGAAAAGCAATGAGAAAAAATATATATCCTCAGGTGAGAATTAACAACAACAAAGGTTGATAGGTCTGGGATGAAAACCAGGCCTCTTCACCTTCTCTGGCCTTGGTGGTGACCTCAGAGGCGCTACGACCACAGACCTGTAGCTCCAGGCACCCACGGGCCGCTCTGATCCCGTGGGGCCCCCAGCTCTTCCTCCCACACAGGTTGGCACTGCGACCTCAGATGCCTTCAACACTCCCTTCCTGGTCCTGGAGTCACATCCAAGGCTGCGCCCCCCTGTGCGTTTCCCTGTTCCGCGACACTGGTGTGGAGCAGCCGTCACCAGCCCTCTGAGCGTTCACCCTACGCTTTCTTCCGAAAGCCAACCCCTGCGAGATTCAGGACGGAGGCCTGAGAATGGTCAAGGAGAGCGAGGAGGAGTGAAGAGGCCGGATGGAAAGCTGGGGACCCCGTGAAGCTGACACTGAGCCCTTCCTCTCCATCCAGTGGCACAGAGAGGGCTGTCTGCCCAAAGGCTCTGGCTGCTGGTGTCCCTTAGGGGTTCACAGCGATAACCAGGGGCCTCTTCAGGGTACAGAGATGGGCATGGTCCTTCCCAGGAGGTGGCGGCGCAGGTCTGTCCTGACTCAGACAGGCTTGTTCTCATGACATGGTGGCGTGAGGGCCAATTTACGCTGGAAACCGTAGGGAGGCGGGGCCCATTTTAACATTTATGTTGGTTTCCCAGCCTTGTCATGCACAACCCAGGCCTATCCACTTGCCCTGAACACTCCCTCCTCAGATCTGTACCTCTTCTATACTCTCACAATCAAAGGCAATAACCCCAGAGTTGTTGCAACCCAAATCCTGCCACATGGGATTCTCACTCCCCGTCAGTCCTTACTCTCCTGCCTGGCTCTATCCCCTCCCCTGGACTCAGCCTTCAGGGCCTCAATCTACTCCAGTCTGAACTGCCCACTGGGCTGCAGACCCCTGCTTGTACCTTGAGCTCTGGCCCCTGGCCTCCTGAATGTCTGAGTCCACAGCTGTTTGGTTCCAGAGGGGACAAGGTGGTCCCCACTCAGACAGCCCTGGCTGACGGGCAGAATGGGGCTGGGGGAGTGGACTCAGCCAACGGGAGACAATGGGTTTAGTCCTAGTGCTTGCGGGGCCGGGGTCAGGATACTGGAATCGGCGGGGAGGGACCCTGCAGCTGAGACGTAATCCTGTTGGGGAAGAAATTTCTAAATCCATGACGACAACCGCAGTCAAGCTCTGCAAATGGCTACAGCGCCTTCTGTTGGTGACTTTAAGAACTGTCCCAAGCATGCCGGGTTGTTACCTTCGTTCTTGCCCATGAGGCTAATAGAAATGCTTCTGTCTTTGAGTGTTAGGCTAAGTCACTGACCCCTCCAGCTCCCTCCAGACAGTGGCTAGACCTCAAGAAGAGGCCCCAGCACTTTGGAAAAAAGATCTTTAGTCTCGAGCGAGATAGATTTGAGCTCAGGTTTGGACTTCTTTGCAAAAGTAAAAATCACAGAAACAGAAATAAGGCAATCCTCTAAAGCTGTATCACCCAAGGAGGGGGCCTAGGAATGCTCGATGCAGAGACCCGGGGGCACTGGGGCATGCAAGAGGGGAGACCCACGCTTTCCACGGCCTGGCTGAGTGGAAAGCTTTGAGTGCTACCATCTAGCTAGGACTCCTCGGGCTTTGCTTCCTGATCCTGCAGCGGGGGCAATGCTGAACATGGGTACAGAACTGAGAAGGCACAGACAGGACTGTGGGCTCCCCCTTCTGCCTGCCCCCCTGCTCCGGCTCTCCGCGGTAAGGGTCTGGGCCAGAGCTCCCTCCCCAGCAGGCCTTCTGACTGACATGGGGCTTGGGCACGGGAGAAGGGTCCCAACAAGGTGAACTGCACATCTAATAAGTCCATCTCTGCGGACTTACCCTGTGGCCACATCCTAGATCTGTGAGTGCATAATCCTGAGAGATGTTCCTAAGGGCTGACAGAACCCTCCCGTTGGCCCAAAAGCCTATGAAGAGGAAGCTACAATGGCAGAAAAGTCCTGAAACTGTGCTGCTCCCATCGAGACAGTGAGCTGTAAGCAAAGCCGTGTTTTGAGTGAATGGACGGGGTCAGTGGCCCCACTCTGGGATCTAAGGGTGCAGGAGTGCTGAGCTCCCTCATATCCCTGCTAATTAGTGTCTCTTCATTATTACTACAAATTACTACTAATTATTACTGCACTATTTGTCTCCATTAGTCACGTGGGGTTTTTTAATTTTATATTTTATGATGCTTTAGCTTCTTGGGGCACGGTGAGCCCAGGGAGGGACTGCCCTTCCCAAGTTAGCTGATTCCCCAAGGCAGTAAAAGACTTGCCTGCAAGCCTGCCTTTGATATCCCAAACCCTGCTCCCACTTGACTATTCTTATCTGGCTCCTGCAGCCTCGGACCTCATCCCCCTGCCCGAAATCACCCCAGGGCACCGCATCTAATAACTAGGGACAACTCCTATGGCCCAGAGCCCGCCAAAATTATGCACACTATTCAGGCGGAAACCTGCTCGGTTTGTTTACCTTGTTTCACTCTTTCCTTCCCCAAAAAAACACAAGAAAGGCTCCGCCCTCCGTTCCTCTCCCTCCCTCTGCCTCCTGCCTCCTGCCTCCTGCCTCCTGCCTCCTGGGGCTTCTGGGGCTTCCTCGTGTGGCCCCGTGTGGAGGGACTGATGAGTGTCAGCTTCTTTCATGACAGCCATTCCCATGTTTGAAAACACCTACTTAATTCACTGATCCGATTCCTCACCAACTCACGGTGTCCTGTCCTGTCACAGCGGACCACCTTAAACGTGACCGATTGCCAGCCCAATCGCAACTGTTGTTCCTGAGGTGCTGCCTTTATGAGAACAGCCTCTGGTGCTGGGTGCGCTGCTCTAGGTGGCAAATGCATTCTTTTCGAAAGGTTAACGTGATGGCTTCTTGGGCAGCTAAATAGCCATCTCAGATGGTGGGTAAAGAAAAATTGAATTTATTTAAGGAAAGGGGATGGGGGATGGGATATCCAAAGGGAAGGCTACACAGCACCGAGCCAAGAGGATATTGGGTCGATGATGGCAGCCCCCAGGAGCCGGGGTCTCATCCTTATATGTAATCACTGGCAGGAAGCTCTGGTCAGTGGGTCTTGGGGCTGGGTGGGTCGGTGGGCTAGGGATGCAGGTGCAATGCGGATGGCACATGGAGGTGTGATCAGGTGTTTTAGGACAGTTTTAATTCCTTATATGGCCTGATCCTGGGTGCCCATCAAGTCTTCCTGGTCTTTGCTCTCTTGTGGCTGGAAGCTCACAAATGGCAGTTAAGGATTATATTGCCCTGCAGTCCTAACACTTTTCGATCCCCATAGAGAAAGAAGGTCAGAAGTAGTTCAGTTGACTCAGGAAGAGAACAGGACACATTCAGAGTCAGCCCCGGATTATGGGGATTCTTCTTTCTGTCCCCGCAGTGGGAGGGGCACTGGCTCACTCTACTGATGGCTGCAGGGGCCGGAGGAGCAAGTTCTCCAGATGCGCCGATAAGACACATCTGCACAAGAGGTAAAGAGAAACCCTGCAGAATTTCAGGCGTCTCCCTCAGGCTCAGCGTTTAGGAGTCCAGGGTCTGGAATGAGTTCTTTTGTCTTGAGTCTCAAACCTCTAAGAAAAAGCTCTCGGCTCAGTGGGCCTCTGTGAATTTGGGGGCCGGCATGTCCCATGCTCGAGTGCTGCTCAGACTCACTGGGCGACCCAAAAAGCTGCCAGGTTCACGTGGGGTCCAGAGCATGAGAGGCCTCTCCAGCAGATCCAGGCTGGGGTAGAAGTGGCCTTGTCATGTGGGCCATGTGTCCTGGTTGTTTCTGGGGAAGACAAGGATGCTGTGCGGCATCTCTGGCAGCCCCAGTAGGAGGAACGTACTTCCGAGCCCTAGGGCCCCAGAGCAGGAACATAGCATGCGCCACAGAGAACTACCCGCCCTTTAACATGCCTCCCAACTCTCTGCCATGCTGAAGTCCAGCCGAAAGTCCCCACCACCTTACACTGTGGTGAATGTGACGTTACCCAGCCATGATGGTGGCTCCAGCCACACGGTCACGGCCTGTCCGGTGCTGCGTCCTCAGCTGTCACACTTATGGCCTTGGGGGGAGCGCCCTTTAATCCGCTGATGGGGGGGAAAGTCCAGTTTTTCATGAACGAGCGAGCTTGAAGCAGTAGGATGTTTGTGTGCAAGATTCAGAAACAGCAGTGCCCTGATCAGAGCTCTGAAGAAAAGCAAAGAAATGATTGGCCCCCAAAAAGTGAAGGGAGCAGTTGACCCCGGGAGCAGGAGGAGGGACCTGAGATCAGGGAGGAGTATGTGGGGGCTTTAAACGTCTCAGCGATGTCTGACTTCTTAGGCTGAATGGTGGGTGCACAGATGTTTATTTTTAGTCCTTCCACACTGTCCATTACGTTCTATGCACACTTTTGTGTAGG